TTTGGTTCAATGCAATACATTCTTTGAAAGGAGATGATTATTTTAATAATTATTTATTAAGATTAATTGAATACTTTGAATTTAACGGTTAGAAATCTTTTTTTTAAAAAAATTTTTTTATTAGTTTTTTTTTTTTATTTTATTTTATTATATATACTGTATCTTTTTTTAAAATAAAACCCAATAAAGAAAATCAGCGTGATGTATTTAAAAAATTTAATTTTTTTTGATGGTTACATTTTTGGTGATCCTTAAATCTATCTATTTTACTAAAAAAAAATGATACAAATTCAGATCATATATTTCTTTACCTTTTTTCTGCAACTTTTTAATACATACATTAGTGCTCTTGGCCCATTAAAAACAAGTGAAATTTTAATAACTAACGTTATATATGGAATGCGTGAAATATTTATTCGTTAAAGGCCGTTATCGAACTATGACAAGAAGAGTTCCCATCAACAACAGCAATAACTTCAACACCAGCAACCGTTATTACCATATATACGCCACTATATACAAATAATTTAAGTGAATCCAAAAATAAAAATGAAGCAGAAGAAACTATAAAGCAGTGTTAAGCACTTGGACTATTTTGGGCAGCTCTCCGGACACTTTTTCCTATGTCCAAATATTTAAAATCAAAAAATAATGTCCAAAACCCGTCATTGCCTTGTAAGTTAATCTTATATTTATTTCATTATTAGCAATTATTACTTTACTTATATAATATTTTTTTTTTAAAAAAAAAGGGGACATCGTGGTTGATTCTCGTAATAAATGATGTTATTGCTGGGCATTGATTTGACGCATAACATATTAAAGGTAAGTAATCTAGAAAGTTATGATCTTTTATTGATCTGAAAGACAATAAATAGGAAGACACTTCCATAGCATTTGAATTGTTAAACCTTTAATAATTCTATCAGACGTGTTTTCTTTAAAAATTTTTGATTTTTATAAATAGCATTTTTTTTATATTTTAAGAATTCCTAAATAAATTTAAACATCGCACTTTTTTTTTTTTTTCGTTGATTATGGCCAGTAACGTTTACTTATCTTAATAACCTTCAATTTCTTAGATATGAATATTGGGCTGAAAACCATCTCTGGAATTTTAAATATCGCTAATTCATTATTCAATCTTCAGGACCTAATGCATCATCGCATCAAGCTTTTAAGACGGGAAAATTGGCGGTGCTGTATCGTTTGGATAAGGGATCAATCGCTTAAATACATCTCCAGTTTGTATTGCAATTGCGCAAGGTCCAATAATGATGATTTTTCAGTTTTACGTTACTTTCTAATGTATATATATCTAAAATCACCTTTCTCTCCTTAGAGTATCATTGAAGGTTATATGAAATGGATGATCTAATGAGAAAGAATTGTTGAATTTTATTTTATTTTCAATTAAACAGTCAAATTCCCTCAAAAGGTTCCTAAAATTTATATTCCTTTTTTATTATTATTATTATTATTATTATTATTTCATTTCCATCATCATTTTCCAAAGAGGATTCCGACCATTGCTTTATTTCTTTCGCTTTTCCCAGCGATCATCATAGGAGGCAATAGACCCATGAACTAACGATAGATGTTTTTCCATGTTTCCTCGACAAAAGCTTTCTCCAACATTGTTTTAAAAAAAAAAAAAAAAAAATTATATAATATATGTTTTAAATTTTATTGGCATATTTACCATTATTATATGTATTATAATGTTTTTATTTAAATACCATTAGGCTACATCAAAAAAGCATATGGTATTAAAAAGATCGTCTGAATAACTTCCAAATATAGCGATATCTTATTAATTTTATTTATTTTATTTTATTTTTTGACAAATACAATAAGAATGATAACAAAAAAAAAAAAATAAATAAAATAAAAATAATAATAATAATTAAATACTGTCTGAAAAATAATGAATTATAACGGTATTATACTATGGGAAAATTTTAATTTCCAATGAAGTAAACATTCGTTAAAACATTTGCAATCGTCATCATCTCCATCAAAAGAATTCAACAAATCCAACCAAATTAACCTCTCATGTTCAGATGTATTGAAAGCCTTAGGAATGAACACGTTGAAGAATGGTTGCAACACCACTAAAGCTTTTGCTTGCTTTAATAATTTGATATGTTCAGGCTTATAATAGATCCTTTCATTATAAAGTTTAAACGCAACATTGATAGAGTATTTATATTGTAATGGATTAATGGAGTCATTAAAATAAACTTTGAAGGCTAGTAAATCCTTAAAGCATTTCATGGTTAATTCGGACCTTTCTCCGTAAGTTTGAAGGATGAAATGATAAGCTTTTGGAGTAAGGATAAGTGATTTCTTCCTTGAGACATCGTCTATAATTTCGTTTCTAAAACGTTTCTCAACGATCCGGATCACAATTTCTTCGTGTTGATCTGACCTTGACTTGAGAAACTCAAAGATATTTACTGTCCTAAGGAACCTTTTTGGTTCAAATGACTCGTTAAAAAGTTCGTAGACCAATGAATTTGTTGATAAGTCACTTCGAATCCTAGTGAAAGCATCCCATAAAATTTCACCTATTTTACCTAATATCATATATTCAAACCTATGAAAAATATTTATCATAATACAGGTATTTAGTTCAAATCCTGCATCTATCAATTTTGTAAGTCGTATTTGTACTTTTTCGGAAGTGGGAAAGTTCCAATTTAATGAAGAGTATCTTGGAAAGAGTGAGATAAAGGCGAGTTCATTAAAATCAACACAAATCTCTTCGTAACCTATTTCCTTCCATAGGTTAACGAGATTTGGTTTAATTATGATTGCCCTCACGATCGTATTGATTTGACTTTCACTCTCGTAACCATCCTTGAATGGTTGAACTCCTTGATGGTAATGAGGTACATTGTCAAATCTTAATAGGAATGAGTTTGATCTATGTGGAAATGGGATGAACTTAAACTTTAAAATCAAATTTTCAATTTGTTTTAAATTCTTATTTAAAACTTTAGGATCTGCAAGCGAAACAAATAGGTTCATGTCGTTCCCCTTGATAAGATATTCTTTCGCTTCAAATCTCACATTTCCTTCCTTTAATAGGTAAACAAATGTATCTAAAGGCAAATCACTTGCCCATGTTACTTCAACTTTACGTGGATTTAAATGTTGATTAAAATTGTTTCTAAGTTCATTTAATTTTGAATCTTCCTTTCCATAGTAAATTAATAAATTTTGAATCAAATATCTTGACAATATGACTTTTTTTTCTTCAATTAATTGTTGGCATATGGTTTTATTGATAAAGGTGGGTCCCAATCTTATTCCATGAAAGAGCGCATGGATCTTTCCGAATCGATAAATTAACCATTCAATTTTAGCATGCGGATCTTTTGCAACAATTGACCATTCCTTACTACATAATGCCAGATTTAATGGTGAATCGACGTATTTAAAAATATTGATTTTAATTTGAAATTTGAGTGACATTTTCGTTGTATAAAATTGATCCAAAGAGTAATTTTTATGAATTATTTTTTTTTATTTAAAATCGGCCATCAACCATTTATATAAGGAAAAAAAAAAAAAGTGACTAAAAAATTGAGTGATACTTTTGACCCTGACTGTTTACCTTCTTTAAATTAATCAACTAACTGTCAGTTCATTGTATATAAATTTTAAAGTTCAATCTCCCTCTTTTGGTTAATCGTATATTGTAAAATTAATGTACTTTAAATAAAGATCAACGTTCATTTATTCTACTTTGATATAATTACGGAAGTTCGGGCCGGTGGCGAAGAAAAATTCAGGTTTTAAATTCCTTTTTGTTATTCTTGTGTATTCGTTAAAATAGGATCACCGCATCTTTCTTTACAAGTCGTTTTGTCGGAAAATTTTTGATTGGAAGTATACGCGACACGAAACTTTTTGTAAGATCCCTCGTTTCAAAGAATTTTTAAATAAGAGGTAGTGCGTTTATATATCGGGTTAGTTCAAGTTGATCACTTCCTTTTCTTGGTTGTTGTGTATCTTTTTTTTATTCATTGTTAAAACCTGCCTTTAAAAAAGGATCAAAAATTCAAAGCCATTGAGTTTGATACTCACCATTAGTTTTATTTTTTTTTAAAAAAAAGTTTACCATATTTTGGTAATTTTTTTTTATTAATCGAGAATGATGCCATATTTTTTTTTTTTTGTAAAATCTTTTACTATCTGGGGTGGTCAGTAGAAAAGGGGGAAATCTACTTTTTAGTCAAAAATTTTTTTATTGGTTCACTCTGCTGATCATGGTCATGTGAACAAAACTAGCTTAA